TCCCGACTTCGCTTCCTTTTTCGAGCATATTCTCTCAGCCAGATTACCTTGGGACGAAAGTGGCTCTCTTTTGAGGAGTTCCTCCCGCTAATTTTACGGCGGTGCAATGACCGACGAAAATGGCGTCCCAGAAAATTCCGAGGACGAATCGGCTGCCTATGCGGAGAACGGGTCGCTTCCAGTCGGAACTTCCGAGTTGGAACAGGAAATTAAGGAGCTAGAACGATTGCTGCGGATCGAACGCGAGGAACGGCGAAGGATTCAGACTGAAGCACAGGTTCGTACCATTGATATCAACTTATGTTCTAAACAAACACTACAAAATCCAAATGATCAGAGGTATAAATACGAATAAAAATGAAGTATAAAAAATTTTATTTGCCCTTCTACCTCATTGAAAATCCTTTGAAATAGCCCATTAATCTCACTACCCAAATTTAAGTATATCGCTGGTTATTTCGTCATTTCTCCTCATGTTCTATCCTTCCTAATTTTTCTTCGCCTACAAATGTTTACCAAAGGTTTTATCCTGTACTATTTATTTTCATATCCTTCATTTATTTTTATATTCTTTCATTGAGATTTGTGCTTACAACCCTATTATCAAAATCCTAGCCCCTGCTACCTTTAGTACATCACCTCAGTACGTCTTTATTTTGCGATTATTTTTCTCGGTAAGCATTCATACAAATATATTATACTTTTCTCTATATCTATGCATTGGAATCACTGTTTGATTAATTATTTTATTATTCATTTATTGTGTTTATATTCAGCTTAGTTCAAGGCTTTGTGAACTGCGTGATAGCGAGCGCTGACGTGTCAGTAAAATTAGAAAATTATCAAAGAATTTTGCAATGAAGTGTGCTATTGTCTCTTCCGCGGAAGGTGTGACCGGTTACAAAATCGTTGACCATGACGTCGAACACTGCGGAGATTTTGGTCTGATTTCTTGGGAATTCGATTTTTTAGAATCGAATTTGGACGTTATTCAGTTCTGAACCGCATAGGCAGTGCGTTAAGTAACAAACGTTTTGATGATTAATATCAAAAAGTGCATATTACCTATACATACTGATAAGAGAGTCGAGATCATATGTATAGCTTCGAAAGGTGCAATGAAGCTTTATGTATAATTTTTTGGGAAATCGCTGTCATTGTGTACATGTTACACTTTATGATTCAATTTACTAAAGTGAAAATTTTCTAGGAAAAATTCCTGTGTGCTCACCGGTACTCATTCTTCATATACTGCGAACATCACTATGATTTTTTT